AACAATATTTGATGACACATAGTAACCAAAATATGTACGACGTGGTATTATGATTAGGTAATAAAATTATCCCGAGTAAAGAGTCAAGAGGCGCACCATCATGTTGCGTGAAATTTCATACATAACTGGTAAAAAGTCGGTGATACAATTTTTAGCAGTCCCTTCTGAGAAAAATAGTAATAACACTACATAATGTAGGTAAACATGCAGGTAATAAAAAATATATACAAAGATTTTACCTAACAGAAGAAGCAAGGCGATGAGTCTCGGGAACTTCCGCGAAGGACTTCTCCAGTTTGTAGACAATTTTGTAATAATAACTGACGTCTGCTTCTATCTCCTCAGGATCAAAACTGCCAACCTATTATAATATATTACATATAACGATACTTTTACAGACAATAGTAGTAATATACCTTTAAACCGTTTAAATTGTTTTTCGAGTGCATACTTTTGTAGACATCCAGGTATTATGCTTCTCAAGAAAATCGTATCCAGCATCGAAAAGTTTCTTGAACGGTACCAATCTATCAAAGACCTGTTTCCTCTTGGGATACTGAGACAAGTCCCACCCAAACGATGCCTCTTCTTCATTAAAGTGGTCAATCTTTGTAAGGGCACCTGATAACCTGTACACGAAAATTTATTAATTATGTAAATATAACAAGCGTGCAGGTTTGAATCGCGGATTGGTCAAACAAACTACCCTATTAATTTCTAAATATCAGTTTTCCGTTCATCAATAGGAAAAAGCAGACTCCGTTTGTAAACTGCCTTTTTCTGTTTTGTACCATTTGTAACATAAATATTTACTAAATATTAGATTTCTAAACTCTCAAACTCAAACTCAAAAGCATTTATTTCAATTAAACCATAATTTGGTACTTTTGAAACGTCAACAAATATGAAATATATAATAGTCTGTCAGTCTGTCCGTCAGTGAAGCTAGGCGCTCGTTCCAAAATGTCGATTCGAGTGGAGAAGAACGAGTAAGAAACTCCATTCGTTACTCTTTTTAAAAAAAGTCTGTTTTACATTGCTCTATACATATTCCAATATTGTACACACATGTGAGAATAATGTAAAGACATACCTGACGCAACATACAAATAACAGAGCATACTAAAATAAAAAAAAACAAAACCAAGAGAAAACAAATATCTTAAGTCTGACATGGTCCTCACATATGTATAGTGACAATCCATATAAAATAGTGCTTCTATACAAGGAAAAAAATAAATAAACTCTTGTTTAAATAAAGAAAGAAATGCTCGATGCCACAAGAAAAATAGATTGCCTTCATCGGAATCAAAGTATTAAATTACCTATTATCGTAATCTGAACTAGGTACTGACTACATTTGAGTATTGTCCAATGGAGCCGAACCAACACGCTGCCAAACATTCATATCCTCAAGATAATCAATCACTCTGTAGTAAGCTTGTTTACACAATTCGCGTTTAATATATGTTTTAAATTTGCTTTCATTAAGATCTAGTATGCTACTTGGTATTTTATATTACAATAAGGTTAGTTTCCTAAATTTTGTTTTAATGTTCGCCAATGTAAAAATGGACTTTGCGGTGCTTTGGCTTTGAATAAATTGTAAATAGACCTATTTGGCAATTGTTAGCTTGCCGTCGGACGAACGATATTGGTCGGTGTTTCTTCCTATAATCCTTTAATCCTAAATCAAAAACCACACACAACATTGTTGTTTGCGTCTAATTTTTCCAACACAATTAATAAGATATATCTCGTTAATCTAATGTAATTATTACTTTAAAAAATTGAAGCCCATCATTAATAAACAATAGTTACATACATGGTAAACCGGAAACATATATTTTTTGGGAGCTTTAGAGGGTTCATAGGTTCGTTGTACTTACTTCTCATCCAGATGACGCGCCCGTGAAACATATTTTGGTAATTCATTGATTTCTCCCCAGTATTGCACCTCATTCACTTGGAGTTCATAAACGTCTAGGTCATCAATGAACTTGGCAATGCGAACCTGAGTGAAAATTATTTTTATAAATAATATAAATACATTATTTCCTTTAATATTTCACAGAAAGTTTAGTAATTTTTGTATTTACCTTCAATAGTTCTTGGTATTCCGATTTCTTCTGATCACAAATGCCCTTAGCCTCTTCTATGATACCAGGCATACGAGCATACCTACAATGAATACATCCATACTTATAAACAAAAGTTATTGGTTTTATTAATGAAATATTTATGAATGTAATAAATTGTTGAAATTCTATTTATTTCACATCACATGATTCGCTGAATGTATTGCAAAGCCCTATTTTCGAGAACAGCTGAATCGATTTCGAAAATTCTTTTTGTTGCATTTGTAATTGTTAGGAGAAGTTATTATATATACTTATAACAAAACATTTACAAAGTTGCGCAGAAAAATTTCCTAAGCGAACAAAATTCGCGCGGTCCACTAGTTACAAATAAGCGATACTGGATACTGTGTGGCGTATACTATAGTCTCTTCCACCACTAGGTACCACATACAACATGACGACCACGAATACTCTTTCAATAATAAAACGGCTGAGAAAAAGATAAAGATTGGTATAATAAAATGACGGTAAAAAGAAAATTCAGAATAAATCCGATTCTGAACAAATTTTCCTTACCAGTGATAGGTCTGGTTGTTAGACTTCAGCTCCAGCGGCGTGAAGGTGGTGTAGTCTCCTAAGAAGACAATGTATCTCATAACGTTACGTAGTTTGTCCTCCATCTCAGCTAGGAGGACGTCCTCCACTTTCTTGACATACGCCATCAGATCCATCAGTGCGGCAGTATCCCCCGGCGGGGTCAATAGTGTATTCGCTATAACTGCGTATTCATCGTAGATCCTGCACAGTGCACATGTAATTATTGATAGAATGGAATAGAATGGAATAGAGTGGAATAGGATGGAATAGAATGGAATAGAATGAAATAGAATGGAATGGAATAGAATAGCATACAATATAATACAATAGAATAATCTTTATTGTATACTATTAATAATATAGTACATACGGAAAACGAAATAACAAACATAAATATAAAAATGGATAAAAAGGGGGGGCTTTATCACTTATAGTGATTTCTGTAAATTTTTAAAAGTCTTATTGCTTTGACTTACGGTCCATTTCGATTTGTTTTAACAATACAGGGTTAATATGACAATAATTTCCGTAGTTTTAATTATTTTTGGGATAAAAAATTACCTATACTAAAAATTATATAAATCGATTCAGTTAACGATTCTGAACAAACTATTTTCAGGATGTGAGTTATTTATGTTACATGTTGTTTACATATAATAAAATTATCAGTATCTAATTATTGATAATAGAATCAACTTGTGATTCTTCTATTTAAATGTTAATAAATGCTTACGCTTTGATCATTAGTTGGTAATCCTCAGTCATTCTCCTCAGCAAAGTATTGGCCATCCTAGTCGCAGCTGATCGCAACGAGTTGATGAGCTCTCCTCGCTGCATTTGGAACATGCCAATGACGATGATCCCCTCAAGTTTGGAAGGGATCTCTTTCGCAAGTTCTACATATTTCACAGACTCCACACAGTACTCTTCAAATGACTTTTCTGGCCGCGAATTTATAAAGTCTTCTACTTTCTTTTGAGACTGCCAAATTTACAAATTAAAGAAAATTACATATACTTTATGTCTTTGATATGTTAAATAAAAAATACAATGATTAAGATTGTCACCTCGCCGTTCAACAAACAAATATAATCATCAAAGTCTTGAACTCTTAGTTCTGGTCCGATTCTTTGCTCCGCAATCAAATCAGCAATCAGTTGCTTATACTCTTCTACTAAATCATTGTCTATTATTGGCTATAAGAAAAAATACACAACAATCTATTAATCTATACAATGTTGATAAAATGCATCTGTTTATATACTTATGTACGTGTTTTGTACCTACTGATAGGTATATTTTTAAAAGTTACGGGACTGGAGAAGTACCTTTAGAAGTAGCTTATTTGAATATAATAGGTAAACCTATGAAATTGTCGTTGTTATGATAATGCCTAAATTGTATGAAAAAATTAAACGAAATATTTCATGAATTTTTATTTTTATTAATCGAAGTAATCACCCATGCAATCAATGCATCTTTGCCAACGCAGTGGTAGTTTATTGACGCCCTTAGCTATTTCTTCAAAGGCATTTTGCAGGCAGGCAGCCAGCCAACAATTTCTTCAAAGGCATGTTGTAACTTGTACTGCCTCTCGGATATTGAATTTTTTTGCGTTTTTTTTTTTGCGTGGTCTGGTGAGTAGAGCGAATGACGGAGAGGTTCCAACCCCAGTTCTTGCAACTTGGAGATCGTCTGCTGAACAGTATGAAGAGCAGCGGAGACGAGCGATTGACCAATAGTGAATGAAGATGTGCCAGCTTCTCCATCATTGGGTTCAGTTCCTCACAGTACACATCTGCAGTAATGCTCACCCTGTTTAGTAAGAAACTGTTGTGAATCACACCGGCGCTAGACCACCAAACATGATCGTCACTTTTCTAGGGGTAAGTTTTTAGGCGCTGGCCCAGGATCCAACCAACTTGCTGAGCGCTTGTGGTAATCAAACAGAATCAATTTTTAACTAACAAATCGCGGGTTACTCGCGTGAATATACTGAGAAAAGTTCTACTAGTTTCGAATCACAGATGTATCACGATAGTTATTATAAGAATCAATTTTCCATCGCAGGTAACAATGCGGTTCAAAATTTTCTCCCTCTTGTGGCTGTTGAGCAGTGCAAGTCACATCTCAACGCGTACTTGGCGCTGGTGATCATAGAGTTTGTGGGGCGCCCATTTGTCAAGCTTTTTACCTTGCCAATTAGACGATAATGACCAATATTATTTAGACGCTAACGTCGAAAGCTGCTGCTAATTCAGCCGTAGATTTTGTATTAACGGCTTGCACAATCGCCTTTAATTCGTCATTATTAACCCTTTGATTGACAATAACGAATTAGTCTTCGGACGACCGCAAGGTCCATTTTTCAGGACGAAATTTCCAGAACGGAAGCGAGCAAACCAGGTGGTGCATTGGTTGGTAGTGCTGCAGTTGGTAGCTCCGTAAACATCGTTGATGTTGCGTGACGTTTGTGCCGCGTGGCTGCCACGACGGTAGGTACTTACCGTTAACATTGCAAGTATTCCATAATTACTCGAATGACGAAATAGATTGAAATGAAATGAAAATGAAACACTAGTCAAACAAATGACTACTTAAGGAAAAAAAATCCATGTTTTAAATTAAAATTAATTTAAAAATAGAATTCTTAGCCAAACAAAAATTATAGCAATTTCATAGGTAATAACCTAATAGAAAAATATTTTCATTTATGCAATCAAACCTTCATCAAGAATAACAATCCACTCATTAGAGAAACGAAAATTTGTTTAGTATCTATATGTGTTTTGTTTACAAAAATATATATGTCTGTATACCTTTAGTGTAGCTCTTGTAGCTTCCGTGTAGTCCTGATAGAGTATAGTCTCCAGGCGAGGAGACTGTCGACATGCATCTATCAAATAGTCGTACAAAAGACACAACTGATCTTTAAACTGTCGGAAAGTAGGGTCAAACTCAATGGCCTCGTTTTGAAATCCTAGATTTATAATGAAACCTTGGTTATTGCCCTGTAATTAAATGTTAAACTTAATGTTTTAAAATTACTTGTTTATTATTTAATTTTGAAAGCTTTTTTAACTCAGTAGTGTACCAGTAGATCTGATTAATTTGGTTTTATAATCAGACCGTGATTCTGATGTTTGATTGACTTTATTTTGAAGATATTGCTCTTGGCGTGGTGGCCCGGAGATTTAAGACGCTTCTCATGCATGAGGGTGCGGGTTCGAAACCTACCAACGCCAAGTACCAATGTGACTTTTTCCGAGTTATACCTGCTTTTTAAGATTATCTAGATACCACTGACAAATGGTGAAGAAAAACGTCGTGAGGAAACCTGCGCTTATAATTTCTAAATTAAGTTTGTAATCGCCAACCCACATTGAGCAAGCGTGATGATTAATACTCAAACCTTCTCCGCCTGAGAAGAGGCTTTGCTCAGTAGTGGGCATTTATAGGCTGTTGATGATGATATTCCTCCTAAATAATATAGACTATACTTACACCAACATCCATAACATAGTCAGTAAACTCCTTCATAGATTTCAAACACAAAGTTTGAAGATTATAAGTCATGATACAGGCCAAACAGTTATAAAAATGCTTCATTTTAACTGCCTGCTTCGGTTCTGGGATTAACCTCTTTTTGCTGCCCTAAAAATTAAAGAACAGCAATAGACGACCGTGCTCTAATATCAGGTACACTATAAAATATATTTGACTGTTAACAGTTAAATCAGTACTGTTAAACAGTACTGATAAATCGCTATTATGGTTCCATGAACTCGTCAGAAGGTATTGGTCTCACCTGAAGAAAAACAGCCTGAATAGTTGGGATCCACTGGTGTGTGAGTACATTACCAGCCGCTTCTATGTGCCTTTTACACACAAAACAGAAGTCTTGCAACTCATACGCTTCATTCGTTGTCATTATGTCTTTCATACTAATCATTCTTAAATCACTGAAATAAATACAAAGATCCATATATTATTCATACACACACATCACACATGCAATCAGTCATTTAACATTTCGTCCTTCGGGACGAAAGTATTCGAAAAGAAAAAGCGTCCGCAATTGATCAAGTCGACCCAATGCGAATTGTCCAGATGTCGCAATATGTCTTCCCATTTTTTCGTTTCTAAGACACAATGATTTGTCATTATTATTTTTGTAACTCCATCAATTTCATCGTTATTATTTTATTTTATTACGTATTATTTTATTATTATTGCGTATTATTTTATTACAAGTAGACTTCAGTAATTATTTACTGGATAATCTTACTTGAATTGTTTCCACCAAATTTGCAGCACCTGTGCAATACAAGGGTTGACGCTGTGTAGATTTTTAGTCAAGTGCTTATGTGCTATAGCGTAGCGATTTCTCCAAGCGTCGTCTTTCATCGCCAGCTCTTGCTGCAATGGCGTGTCTTCTTCTTCCAAAGACTCTTCCTGTAAAATTTTAAGTTGAATACACGTATAAATAATACGCCTGGCTGGAGAATATTTTCTGAAACTCAATCCTTTTGTGTTTAGACTTTAAACTTATTAACATTGATAAATACAGAATGATTGAAAATATCTGTACTATGTTTAAGAGATAAATGAAGTTTAATTAGGTATCGTACCGTGTTCGGGTCTTTCAATACAAAATCCACGATCGCTTTTTTCATACTCATCATAAAATCTTCGCGCATCTCATCTGTGCACGTAAAAAGCGTTTCCTTCCATTTCTTCAATTTTGGAGATATTAGATTATGTACCCTGAAAAACATTAAATTTTCATACTATTGGAGAAAAACTCCAGAATTATTATTTAATACGTATCGCATTAAATAATAATTCATTAATAAGTATCGCAAAATTAGTATTTAATACGTATCGTACGGTCTAATTAATTAATAAGTCGTCACTCAGCAGCTACCTTAATATTATTTTATTATCCAACGGCGCTACATGTATGGTATCGATACCATATCGCAAGTAGTAATAATATCTAAGCATATTCTGTTCTTCGCCAGTGGGCATCGATATCTCATGGTTTTCCTCTTCACCACCAATCTGACATATCAGGTTTACCAGCTTTAATCTAAATTCTTCACGAGCCTTTCTCATTTGCGTGAAACTCTGCATTGCTGAAAAATGACGTATAAGTTTAAGTATGTTTTACGATTTTATTTGTCTCTTCTTTAGAAATCCTCTTCACTTTTAAATTAGGTACATAGTAAGTAAAAATTGGGAGAGGTTTATGTGCAACAGTGGAAGTCTATAACCTGATGATGATGATGATGATGATGAAGTGGAAAAGTATAAATTATTCAAATTTCTTGCTTTGAGATTCGTTCAATTGGAAAATCAATTTTCATTTTGCTCGACTGAATCATAATTTAATATGTCGGTAAACAGCCTTGCCTAAGCAAATATGAATTTGCATGTATGCATATTACACACACACACACACAGCACACACATTTGCGAATCCCACTCAATTTGTCTCAACACTAAGCATGCATGTCTATCTAAGCCTACCTATCTAATATTGACGCTGCATTGTAAATTGGATTTGTCATTAGCTTATGAGTAGGTACTTTATCCTAGTCTTATCTGCTTAAAATATTTTATATAAATCCGTGGTTAACTATCTATACATACAAATGACAACGATTATTAACCATTACGTATGCATCTTTAAAAGAAAAGGTTTTGAGTAGGTACTTTCTACCTAAATAAAAGAGACGAATTTCAAAATGTAAAACAAACGGTGCGGTGCGGCGCGGCGGCAGAATGCACCTGGTCTTACAAGATAAGGTAACTTCAAAAGAAAATTAAGTAAGATGAGAGATGGTAGTTACCGCTGGACTTCTTCTTCGGTGCAAGTTTTGCAGCTTGTAGTTTTGCTGCTTTGGTAGCCGGGGCAGGTAATTTCAAAACTTCTTCTGGTAATGAAAATAAAGGCCGCGTCCGTATTTTGAAGTCTTCTGGCATTGAAAGCTTCGGTATTTTAGGTAATTTTACATCGGAGGTGGAAGGCGACGGAGAAGGCTGGCCTTTTTTTCGCGTTGGTTTGTTGTTTTTCTGCATTTTTGACCCTATAAAATTATTACACGTGTAAATGAAAATAGTACCTAAGTAGTTACTTAACCTCCTGACCGAGTGCCATTTCTCAAAATGGTTTAAAATCAGGAAACCATACAATATATACATAATATCTGCTACATAATAGCTGATATCACTGGAGAAGATATTCTCCAGTAAAAAAAAATTGTCTAATCCGATTTCAATTCGTCATTTTAGTCAGAAAGCAAAGTGTTCCCTTTGTATGACTAATTGGTGACTCCGCAAAAAAAGCAAAAGTATTTTCTGAATTTCCTCCTATGTCGTGGTTTTACAAACATAGTAAACCATAATCTGTGAATAACGCAAAGACTTGTTTGGTGCACAAATCGAACCTGAACACTTTGCAGCAGTCAGTTACCCAACCACTGTGAAAACTATGTCCATTGACGTAGCTCAGATTCGGTAGAATACTTTTGACTACCTAAGTAATATCTTAAACATAATTTTGAAAGATGGCTTTCGATATCTATATAAATCGTTCGAACAATGATGCAATAAACTTTGATTATGAAAATAATATAATCATCACCATTGTATTGTTTTAAAAGTTATATTCTGAGATACAAGAAAAAAATATATTACTGGGCGCACTGTCGTTACGATTAGTTGTTACTTAAAATACCATATAACGTAATCTGAATTATATCTTTTATAATGTATAAATTTATTTATTTTTAATATATATCATTATTTAATTTAATTGTATTCGTTACTTGTCATGACTTTAATGCTACAGACCTTGATGAAAACGAAAAATAATTAAAACCTGCTGTAGCAACAACCAAACGTTTGACAGCCTCCTATAACCTCACTTTTCGGAGTATGTCTAACTTAATATTATTATAAATAGAACAGAAAATCAATGGAAATTTTATGAATACGGACTATAAAACATCGAACTAAAATAAACTAATTAATTTCCATCATCAAGTACTTTACCTAGTACTGTACCTTGGTCTCAGAAAGGTAAGCACTTTGCTTTTACACTTTTTGGTTATCTCTCTCTACGCAAATTATGACTATTTTTTACTTATTTAATCCAACAAAAGTTAATAAAATTAACTAAATAACAAATAAAGTCATTTTTATTCCTATGACAAGATTATGCATTGCACAAACTGTTATTGTCAAGTATTGATTTCTCCATGACAACAGATTAACTTCATTTGTTTGACTAGTTCATTGTTAAACGGACAGTATCATGATTTAAAAAAGGTTTTAATTCAGTGGAGTTTCTGTCAGTAACATTTACTTTTTTATGTCAATAATATTGCAATTTTTAGGTTATAGGGAATGAAGCTTACAGTACAAACATATTCGAAGGTAAATCGCGCTATTGTGGCTCGTTAAATTACTAATTCAAACACAGTAACAGTTTGCTAGTAGCAAATTGCTACTATGCGAAAGTTTATAAACAGCCTTTGGCCTTCATTGGACAAAGTCAGTGTTTCTGTCTTGCTCAGATGATGTCATAGCTGGCTGTACCTATATGTACCTCCAGTATAGTATATAGTCAACAGTGAACAGACTACAAAGGAACACTGAGTATCATCTGTTGACTTGTAGTACAAAATAATAAAATTTGTAATTTTTTGGTACAGTTCATCCACTGGACTTAAAATCTGCTTTGAAATTAGAGTTTGTGTGAGTTGACTTTGTCTTTTTAGGTTGTGAAGTACTAATATAGTTTGCTTGAACTTATTTGTGCCAGCAACTTAGTGCTAAAGAGTTATTGAATGAAACTAAGACACTGTTTGCTCTTATTTTTTCTTCTTTATAAGTACCATTTTATTATTTCAATGTACTATACAAATATTTATATTTAAATGATACTTAATTAGTATAATATGTATATGTTTGGTTTTCAGATGATCTTCCAATTGGTCCGTAGGTTCCATGCTGGACCAGTGTGCAGGGCAGCTGAATCGTCACTGTTAGCTAAACTGAGGAAGAAAACAGGCTACACAATTGCTAACTGCAAGAAAGCCTTAGAAATGCATAACAATGATGCTGATAAGGTATGTACTTGTACTACATTCAATGAAGTATCCCATCTAATAACATACATTCAAAAGTTTTACTTTTTTGTGCTTTTTCTACTGCTTCTCAAAAAATCGTGTTTTATTTATGCTTACATGTATTTAAGAATAACATACAGACAGACAGATTAATTACCTCAGGCAGAGCTGCGGTCGAAACAAAGAAATTGATTATTGCCATACATGAGGTGGATGTGTGTTGATATTTTTTTAAAGTCACTAACCTAGACTACTATTAATATTTCAGGCTGAGTCGTGGTTAAATGATCAGGCTCAAGCAATGGGTTGGGCTAAAGCCACGAAGCTCGCAGGCCGCACTGCCTTACAAGGGCTTATTGCTGTAAAGTTTGACAAGGAGCATGGTGCCTTGGTTGAGCTCAACTGTGAAACAGACTTTGTGGCAAAGAATGATAAGTTCCAAAAAATGATAGAGGACGCCACTTTAGCATGCTTCAAGTTTGCCCACACTCATATGCAGGCTAAAGGACCAGTTACTAAGGTATCTATTGAATCTATCTATCAAATTTAATAAACATGCTTTATATTCTCATTTATCATTCTAATCAGACTGGGTATTGAGTCTGAATAAAACTTTGTCAATATATGAATTCAGTCCAACCAAACTAGATCAACTGAATAAAGCTAACTTAAAAAGGTTAGCTAGTCAATTGGCAAATATTATTAAATGTTGATACTCATTTGTGTTCGCAAGAATACAATATTACCCTTACTCTAATAGAAGAGAGATTTATTTAGGTGCCCTGCATCAATAAATCTAATCAAATATACTTTCTTCACATTTCCAGATGGAATTAGACAGTGAACAATTAGCTAATCTAGCAACTCAAAGTGGAAAGAAGTTGTCAGAAGAACTGGCATTGTTCATTGGAACTGTTGGCGAAAATGCTGTTTTGAGGAGGGCTGAATGTTGGAAGGCAAACAATAAGGATGTCAAAATTACCGGCTACACTCACCCTGCACCCGCGACACCTGCTGACTATTCCGCAGGAAAGTATGGAGCCTTGCTCGCATACAAACAACCCAGTGACAGTGAGGATGTCGGAAGACAACTTTGCCAACACATTGTTGGTATGGGCCCTAGGAAAATAGGTAACAAAGAGACAGACAAACCTGCCAAAGATGCTGATGATGAAACATGTCTTATTTACCAAGAATACTTACTAGACCCGTCGTACACAGTCGAGGAAGTATTGGCGAAACATAAAGTTGAGGTCATTGATTACATAAGATTCTCGTGTGGAGAAGTCATTGAAGCCAACATGCCTGGCGTGGAGAAGCAGCCATTAGATACAGTCCAAACCTTACAATAAAATGTTATAGCTGTGCACAGCATACTCAGTTGCAAGTAGTTATATAATTTCAAACCTTATTACATATGTGATAACCAAATCCATAGTACATATTTATTTTATGTTGTTAAGGAATAAAAGCTTAAATAATATAACTCTTTAAATTTCATGTATTAAAATATAAAAACATGGTTGATCAAATTTAATAACTACAAAAAGTTCCAAAGTATATTATTATCATTTTCTGTATGAATCCGCGTGAATTACATTCTTCATCTTGGCTTTGCCCTTCCAGAGAAACATCCTGCAGTCCTTTTTCCAAAACATTGCAATTTGACTGGGCTCGAAACAGTAGCCGTGATAGCTGAGCACCTCGGGAGATACGACGTGGAGCGCCAGTGTGTTCTGTTCCCTCGTCCTGAAGGGGCCCGTGGTAGCAGGCCGCAGTAGGCAGCCACACGGACACACAGTTGCTATTTTCGGTGCTGACATAACGTTCATTCGATTACATAAATTTATTCTTTGAAAATTTCCACATAACCTGAGCTCTTCGACGGCTCCTGTGAAGGATTGCGTAGCTCGCAGGGCGAGAGGCCGTGCATTTTGGTTTTCTGGATTATTTCTGAAACCAACAGTTGATAAAGATTTCTTTGTGATATTCGGACTGTCCTCCGGGCTTCTGTCTTCGAATTCGCTCTCTTTATCAGAATTATCATCTGTGTACATGATTGCTGTAAATAAATTTGCGTTTTTTTCGAAATTAAAATGACAGTTGCCGTCGTTTGTTCCCGCTCCTCTGCTCCTCGGATACAATGACCAAAGACAATAATTGCAATGAAAAAGTTTTTATATACAAACATAAACTGTAAAGACTTAACATACGAAAATTAGGTTAGGTAGGTATTCCGATATTCCGCTGCCAGGTATTATTTATATCATTGTATTAAATGAGTAAGTAAATATAACAATATAGGTCAGTCAGTGAGCATTCGACCGCGTCGAATCGATTTATGATCGCATCATGTACCGCTCGTGCTGCGGGTAGGTCTTACACAGACATAACGGTATGTGAATCTAGGACAACTACTTCCGATGCTCCGAAAAGAAGTTACATTTCAGTATTTAGATTAAAATATTACCTGTCTAGTGCACAGATAAGTAATTTAGAGTATAAGGAGGTATTAAATACATACCTAGCATTTACAAATATAGGTTCGTACAATTTCACATAGGTACACGTCCAGACCAAATTTGTAGATTACCTACATAAAAATTGTTTCATGCAGACATCGCACCCGATACACGTTGCGCAGTAGCCGGTGTCTCAGCCACTGCGTTAACCCAGCAGCCATTATGTTCTGTTTATGCTTACATCATACCCATTGTTTCTCGAAAATGAGACAGATAGGATAGGAACTTGATGATGGCATAAGTAGTTTCACCAATACATAGGTACTACATAACATAGGTATCTATAGCCTATAGTCCATTGATCTATTCTATTGAAACAAGATGCCTACCTCATTGACTTTTTTAAACTATACATTCTGTAATGTTAGTCGTAACTAACTTAAAAATAATGAATCAACCAACGAAGGTAGGACACTGATACATTAGTCAGGTTACCTATGTCCTTAATGATATTAGAAACCTATGTATACCTTTAAAATAAGCTCTAGATAGCGGACGTTACGGAGCCGCGATGGAAGAACAGTTGTAAGAACGCGATGGTTTCTAGTCATTAAACTGTCGAATACCAAGCGGTCACCGGTGACCGCAACCTATTGTTCTATAATTGTGTCTGCAAAAGCGCGTACGTGCGCTGGCGTCGCACGGCAGTCGTCTCCCCGCAACCGAACTAGTAGGTCGTCATTTTTAAGTATATATCATGTAACTAGTACCAGAATTATATATCTCCAAATAAAATGAAGCGCATCATTTATCCACCTCGACAAAAATACTTAGAACCCCCACACCGGTACTCGACGAGTTAAGTGTGTGAGCCTCCCTCTCGCCCTACCCGGGCGGGAGAAGTCATTCAATGATCCCCCCCCCCCCTAAAATATATATCTACGTAGGTAAATAAACATGAGGTATATTTCTGATTCACAACACAAAGCTAAGTAGGTATCAAAGTAAATATCCATATTAAATCACAATGTTTACCAAAAGGAGATTATTGAGCAAATGACAAATGAAAGTGAGTGCGGAATTAATGTTGAAATGAACAAAGTGCGCGTCCGACCGTGGATCCTGTCCTGTGTCACCTGTGTGACAGAATGGCAGCGTCACAGTACTGGCGAATCATCAGCACATGTCCATTATAACCAAGCGGCCAGTCCACATCTCCGCTCCGAAATGGTTTGACGAACAACATAATTGATAGCAATCACTCCGTTCCATACTCGTAGTCATTTTAAATGAGAAAGTGAGATAAAGTTGCATAATTATACCGTTAATGGACGAATATCAGGTGGTGCATTCAAATTCTTTACTTAATTAATTATCTACCTATTTAATTATTGTATCGTGCATCTATTAATACTTAGACCTACCGAGCTATGTGAGCAGTTACCAACTTAACTCTATGAATAAACAGTTTACTATCGGTTATTACTGTTGATATTTATTAGATGTAAGACTACCCACATTCTCAAGTTTAATGTTCAAGTTTATTGAGCATTTTAAACTTTGTATCCACCCTTAAAGCACAGATGATTGGTTTTTATTTTGGCTTGAATATTTTCAAATAAGTTTTTACCGAAAAAAATACTTTTTAAAAACTTTAATATCTGCCTGTGATCGATAAAGTGCAGCTGTTATCTGGTTCGGTGACTTAAGCCTTCTATCTATCGGTAATATGCTAAACAAACAACGTTGGTTCCGCTACGTCAATTTGTCGATGTTCTAATTGAGTCGTTAAGAGCTGCCGATAACTAGCGATGAAAACGCGATAGCCGCCACAGCTACATATCAATCTGAACGGGTTGCCGCCCAGACTTTCGCGGGAATTAATTCATTCCTCTCCAAGTTTTATTAAAATATGTAAGTGCAAGAAGCGTGAAACAATTTTCTTTTTGTGGTTCGCTCGTCCGTCGGCCGAGAGTGGTTAGTCTGTGAGGAGTGCATGGGCGTCGCGGTCGTCCGCTCGAGTCTTACCGTGCTGCCGATAGTCCGCCGCCGTCCGATACTAACGCCGACGCGGGTGTCTGTCGCTGTGATCGTGTTGTTATGGAACCAGTCGGCTGCTGAATACCCACGGGAAGATGCACATCCTGGAGATCGGTGCTGATCAAGTAATTACGTAATATTTGTATACAAACAGTGGTAGAAACTGAAAGTGTCTCGAGTGCGTTCAACTTTGAATGCACAGTGGTCATCAACTGTTCATGTATCTAATTATCATACCGCACAATTACCTTACAATGATTTTTTATAACTGGATGTATTGTTTCAATTAATTTGCTAAGCTTCACATTCTTCTAAGATGAATATATTTACTAAAAAAACCACTTGGTGGGTTTTATCTATTGTTTTTTTAGTTTAATTATTCATCTGCCTACTAAGCGCTTGTTGCCTTTATTTGTCTACGTTTTATTTTTATAAATTTTAAGTGGTAGGTAGGTAAGTACCTATCTACGTTTCCCCCATTTCAAGCAAATATGCAATGCAATTTATAATTTATCAGATAATATATTCATATCGATACAATCGCATACTCAAACGCATTTCAAATGAAGTAGGTAGGTACTTTATATATCTTTACGCTCTATTTCTCTTGTGGAGAGAGTAGAACCAAGCAGTAGGTATCAATGTTACTGGTAACTTAAAACCTTCAGTAAAGCTTAATTTACATAGTTATATGTATTAACCAATGTGAAAGTCCTTAAGTGGGTACTTACAATAGTCGGTACACACATAGTACGCAATAAGTAGGTACCTACGCAGGCAGGTATTTAAGCAAATAATTACCTGTATCGTATCCCAGTATCTTATGTATTAGTAGGACATAGAGTAGGTACCTACTTGAGTTGCGCCGGAATCAAACCAAAGACGCCGATTTATATAAAAACCTGAGTGGTTGTAGTAGACCAAGAACATTAACAATCTATCTATGTCCATGAGCTTGGAACCTGACTGATTGCGAGTCTGGAGGTCAAGTCTTGAATTAGTAGGTTCAAAATACAATATTTTTTAGTCCAGGGTCGATCCTATAGGATAATATATTTTAAGTTATGGTAAGTCATTCATCCAATGTATCACAATAAGTCCCTAATATTTTTACAGTAGGTACGTATATTATATGCAATTACCTATGTAACTACATTATGTACCTATTATCAAAATTGATTGATCTTTTAGTGTTAATTTGTAGCTTATATAGAGTATCTACCTACTTAATAAACGTGTTTTCATTTCATTTCGCTAATATCTTCTTTCAGTTCTTTCATTGACTCGGCACGACCAGACATTATTTGAATTTGCATTTTAGTTACCTACTAGGTATACATATACCTAGGTACTTACTTAAATTAACAAGAATCCAAAAAATATGTAGGTACATATTTTTAACTTGGGTACTTAGGTACTTACGTAACAGGTATTACGTTTAGGAATAAAAAATTATAACTAATTATTCGCTGACAATATCAATCTCCATCTTGGCACCTGACATCTTGGATTCGGTCAACTACTTTTGTAAGAATGCAGTGCGGTATCTATTATTATTAGCACTTCTAGACTTCCTTTTGGTTTAAGCCTCACTACCACATAGATAATTATGTAGGCAGTAGGCAGGTCACCAAAACGTATCACTGTGTTAAAATTATTTTTATTATACTTACAGCTAAAATTCATGTCCTGTATGCCTGGATCAGTAGCTTAAGACTTTGACTGCCAATAAAAAACTGTTGAAGGTAAATCCTCCGCTAACGCCGGTCACCGGTGACCCCCATGGCGTTTAACGTGTTAACATTGAAATGGGTAGGTGCCAACTCTTGCATTCGTCATTTTGTTTGGAACGCTTACTCAAAGAATGCCAACACTAAGATGTTTCTCTGTCATGCCGGTTTGTTTAGAAACTTTAGATCAAACAAACACATCACATCCAATTCCAACAACTAACTTAACTAGGTAATCTAGATATCATACAAAAACGCCCTGTTCAGAAATCAACCCGAGACGAGACATGTTACGCACCAGTCGTCGCATAAACCGTACATTTAGATTAAAAAATATCAATTCATTGTTGTGAAAATTAAATAATTCTCGACTCATAATCACAAATATTATAAAAGAACTTCCGCCTAGCCCAGTTGCAACATAAATTATAATTACGTATGACAAAGCTCTATAATCTACAATGCTCTTTATTATAGAAATTACAAAGTTATTGCCTTTCATAAGTAGATGGGTTACAAAAGTTGGCCAGTAGCCGGCACACCCACGGGTCTATTGTCGTTGTCGGACGACCTACTACAATCCACTGACGGTCGTCCATTTATCCAACTTATCCAACATGTCCTTGAGACGCTCCTACTTGGTAATCTGCCCTACCCTACATTATTGCCTATCAAAATAAAGGGGTTCCGTAATTTCAGTCGTTAGTCACGCCTTTATTTTGCGAAACAATAGTCTAGAATAATAGAATACATTGTGTTTCTGAATTCTATCTGAATAAGTGAACAATCTGAACAATACAATTGAGGTGTTATTCTCAGAGCTCAGTATTGTGCTAGATCTAAATTGTTCTAGTGATGTTTGTTTGAATTGTGAAAAAATCCATGTATGTAGGTGTAGGTCCACCTACATACATAACTTTTTTTGGATTATTATCTATTGTAGGTATTTACTGGTTCCTACGGTGGCAGTAATCACAAGTACGCACTGATAACTCTAAATAGATTATATCTATTCTGAGTACCTACTATTTCATAAAAAGAAGATATCTACTAATTTTTTTATTACTTTCCTCCTTTATAATGAATGTTTATTATTTATTACTGCAGGATGGAGATGAAAGCGGTAGCGCACGCGCTGCTGAAGCAGCATTTCGCACAGTGCCCCGCGACCACACTACGTTCCTTGTTTGGAGAATCACGGTGAGCCATTTTATCATACCTCGGTACTTAGTATTTCAAACAATCGGGTTTAATTAATATTTATTTTGGTTGGACAGATTTGCGAAAAGAACGTCATCATTACAAACATAAATATCGTCCTTGATCGTACCATTCTCGAGCTACATGTAAAAGTGACTGTCACGTTTTCCACCAAGTAACAATAATGAACTTAAATTGACCTATCACGCGAGACGTTCGTAGCGCACATTCAATTACATTTGATACTTAGGTACAGATACATAACTACACGCCACAGTTTTTGCTCGAACATAACAAATTTCGCTTTCACTGACGAAGACAAAAGTATACTTAGTTATAGTCGTCATCTCGTGCTGTATGATTGCTGTCATTCAGATTTTGTTCAGAGTATTACAGACACACATATGTATGTACGCATTGTTAATTACGACTGACGTAAAATGTTTCACGAATATTGTAACATCGTCATAAACGTCGTGTGCAATGTACAAAATGAACAATTACAATTTATTATTAAACGTTCTTGATATAGGTCACAAAAATTTTTAAAAGCTTATCATTTCTCATTTGGTTAGGGTTTCATTATGCTTTTCATATTTCATTAGGCTCACTGAGGGTGGCCGATGGTGTTGTCCGTTTTCATCACTATCACT